TTCAGTGGGACTCTGGGATCTGAGAGATGTTATTTAGATAGAAACTGCCACCCTGCCCTACACGCTCAGTGGTTGGAGAGTCAGCCCATGCACCAAAGGGTCTCCGGTCAAGGGCCCATACCCAGGTTGCAGGTTCAATTTCCAGCCCTGGTAATGGCCCGTGTGGGAAGCAAACAATCAATATGTCTCTCTCACATTGATGTTTCTCTCTTTCTCTTCCCTAACCCCTCTCTTCCACTCTCTCTAAAAATCAATGGAAAAAATATCCTCAGGTAAGGATTTAAGAAAAAAGAAACTGCCCACTGGCTGAGATAGAGTTTCAACTTCCCCCTCTACTTTAATCCTGAAGGCTGCACTCTAATGCTTGCCATGGACACATGTAAGAAAGATGACTAACCTGCAGGGAGTAGAGGCAGGTCTAGTTGCAGACCAATACTTAGTATGGATCCACCGTACAGAGAGCCTGAGGAGCTGACCATTTCTAAACGGGGATCAACAGCATTTTCGTTTCTAAGAGAGTAGAAAAAAAGATCTGCTTATTTGTGAATGAGACTCTCTGAGTCACCTTTGGGTTCAAAGCTAATAAATTTAGCTTTATATTTCTGTAAAAAGCTTGCTGGAGAAAAGAACTAAAATTCAAGAGTAGCAGGGAAGTCTTTGCCATGTTAGCAAACTCACTATTGGGCCACGATTTAGTGCAGGATGCTAGATCATAGCCTGGGGTCTGGACCCAATGGGGCCATATTATCAACTTGTGGCCTTGGGCACATCACTTGACCTCTCAATGTCACCCTCTCCTACATGGATGTCATACTGTCAGGCACTTGATCTATACACATTATCACTTCAGAATGGAGCAAAGCTGGTTTGTCACGTCTCTCTGTGCAACTTGAAAAAGTTCAAAAGAGAGTCGCAAAGATGAGTTAAGATTTCTAAACTACCCCTTCAGAAAGGTTCAGGGATGTGATTGATTCAGCCCGAAGAAGAGAGATTTAATAAGAGCCTTCAAATAGATAAAGGGTTTTTACCCAGAGCCAGTGAGAATATGGAGACCACATGTTCTCAGTCTGCACTGAGCTGAGAAGCCCAAGCCCAGGCTCTGACAAGGAGAAGTTTCTGACATTAAGGGCCAAAGGACACAAATAAACTAGAGAATGTACTTCTGGGAAATACTTCATTGGGGGAAGGATGGGAAAGAAAGAGAGGGAGGGAAGGAGAGAGGGAAAGTGAGAGGGAGAGAAAGAGAATGCGGCAATATTATAGCACGTTCTGAACACTAGAGAAAGCAACCTCATAGCTCTTGCCAGATATGTTAGTCTATAAATTACCTCTTTGGCCTTATCTGGTTTGCCTCAGTGGATACAAATTATTTTTTATCTTGTTTGTTTTATTGGTGAAGAAGTTTGGTGATCCAAACATACCAGTAAGCCCTACTCCTTGTTCTTTCTATTGTTGGCTCAGGCGCCGAAGAATACTCCCAGGTGAGCACTACACCTGGATGGAAGGCAGGGCAAGAAGAGCCTAGAAAGCCCTGGGTCACACTGATTGCCCCTCCTCTGGGAGCCTGCAGATCAGGGTGCATTGCCCTATTATTATAAAGAATGGAAATAATGTACAAATTATGTCACAACAAAGGAAGAAATTCTAACTATAGTGCACAGCAGGAAGCAATAGTTTGCTCATTTGAGAATTACATGGCTGTTTATGCTTCTGGCACCTGGGCTAATTATGCTCTGATTTAAGCCTCTGGTGAGCCTGTAGTGCCATGTTTACCAAGAAGCCACATGGTTATTACTGGTGATAAAAGCAAAATACTAAGAGGCACCTGAGACTGGAGGTTCACACACAAGCATTCCAAGAAGGTTTGCTACTTGGGATGGTGTGTAGAGAAAGTGCCTCACACAGCACGTGTCAGAAGAGTCCCTTTCTTTCAACCCCTTCTACCTGCTACAGATATTAGCCAGTTCTTACCCCTGAGCTCTGAGAGATGCCTATTCAAATTATACCAAAGGACCAAATCACATGACCGAGGGTAACCTTAACTGTCATCCAGCCTGACCCCTTACCTCTGGGGTTAGGTTGCCTGATTTAGACAAAGCACACACTGGTCAAATCCCATTATGGTGAACTGCACAGGACATGCCAGCAGAGCAATTTTATTAGACAGTTAGAAATCACATTAGTCCAACCCTAGCAGACGTCAACATCCAGGCTTTCTGTAGTGTGTTAGCAAGAGAAAGAGCCCTTTGGCACATCCTTAAAGAAGGAGGTATATTCACATCATCTCACCCCCACACCTTTCTCTGAGCCCTTCAGTATTTGCACGAGTTGTAAAGTTTATTGCAAATTCTACAAATATATATATTTTTTTCTATTGATGGGACTGGAGCATTTGAAGGGATGCTTGATGGCAGAATAATAGAGTGATGAAAACATCAGCTGGGCTTCATTTCAACTCTTTCCTTCCTTTTGTAGAATTCAGAGTTATGTATTTTCACGAAAGAAAGGGCCTTAGACAAGAACCTATGAATGTCCACAGGCTAGCTGTGACAACCGTTTTCCCACCAGACCCTTCTCATGCAGTCTGGTAACAAATGTGTTGGCCACTCATCCTTCACTCCTCTCCTGGTCCTCCCAACCCTTCCAAAAACAGAACCACCTCTTAACCAGGGTCCCCCAAATCCCAGCAGCAGGACTGGGAGGACAGCAGGCAGAACACAAACAGAACACAAGATCCACTTCCAGGAGGAAACTGTTGGAAGTCCTTCCCACCATCCAGAGAGAACCCCAAATCCACCAACAGCAAGGAAAAAAGAGCAGAAAATGTCTCCTGTACTTCAGAGCAACAGGCTAGCACTTCATAGAACCTGGCATGGGTCAGCATTTCTGAACTCTTTTTTTTTTTAGATAAAAGAGATTTTTTCAAAAAGTAGACCAAGAATTCAACCCAATGAAAACTGCTTTGTCCCTTCACATACAATAAGCGACAGAAGCAAGAAGAAAAAATTCAATTACTTCTAATTTATTTATTGCAAGTTGTTAATCTTTTCAAAGAAAAAAAAACAAACCCTCCATTGGTTGCCCAGTATCTTGGCACAGGAAATACATATTTAATTAATTATCTCATTGCATATTGATTATGTAAAGGAAAAAAGTGGATTGATTTTGCTCATCAAATATTTTGCCAGTGTCTACAATTAGGAGGCCACTGTATACAGGCATACCTAGGAGATAGCGTGGTTTTGGTTCCAAACCACTATAAAAAAGTGAGCTGTAATTTTTGTGCTAGAGGAGGATCTTTCCTTCAATTTGTTAAAAAAAAAAAGCAACCTCGGTGGAGCACAATAAAGCAAAGTGCAATAAAACGAGGTATACCTGAACAGCCGACCCTTGAACAAAGGGGGGTTAGGGACGCTGACCACTTGCAGAGTCAAAGATCCCTGTATAATGTAAGCAGCTCTCAGCATATGCCGATTCCAACCATTGCTTTTGTGAAAAGCAATTCAAGGCTTCACTTTACCGGGTACTTTGTTTTGTAACATGGGCTGTGGGTACACTGGTGCCCACTTCATCATTCTTTATGCCCCTTTGAACATCTTGAATATTTCGTATTAAATGTTGCCAAATCCCCAAATCTTCACCAACAGATTCTATTCTGGGCTGTTCAGAGCTGAAAGTTGAGAAGCAAAGTTGGAAACACCAAAATGTAATTGCAACAAAGAACAGAAAATATAAGAGACTGCTTTTGGAAGGTTGCTTAAAGTTCTAAACCCACGCCAAATAACTGCAATGAAAAGAGAGCCAAACTCTACTGTGAGCCTCCTATACACATAACTGCTGAATTATTCTGAACACCTGTTGAAAGTGGGCGATAACTCGGCCAAGTGAAAAGCATCAGGTACCTCTGTCAAGTGCACCATTGGCCCAGCTCCTCTGAATTTGTCACAGAATCTCTCCTCCCATGTCTGAACCTTTACGAGAACTACCTCCCTATAGTAGGGGAGACCGTGTGGGGTTGTGACTTTGTGCTTGTAATCCCTGGTATTCAGGGGAGATGCTATAATAAGCCCAAGCCTACCAGCCAGGACCTAAGGAAGCTGTTGCCTGCCCTTTGGGACACAGGCCCTAAACCACATTTGGTCTCAGTGCCACAAGGAACCAAACTTGATCTTCCAATCTTTCTGCCATGGCATTAAAACCAACTGTTCCATCCCCCTGCCCACAGACAGGAAGAGAAGAAAGATGGTCCCAATAACTCAATTTCAGTCCTAATTCCAGCCCTCGTGGAACCCAAGTTTGCCACCATCTCCCCATTCCCGTGTGGCCAAGGATTTATTGTCTAGTCTTCCCTTTTATTCCGACTGCTCAATCCTCACCAACCTGTAAGCTCTTAATGGCAGTAAAAGGCCACAGACAGGATGGAGAGCAGAGGGTGTAAGAAGAAGAAGAAAAATCCAACTACCCGGAACATCTACACCCTGTGTAATCAGCCAATGGGAGCAGAGATGCCGCTCACACCGGTATTTCTAAGAGCAGGGCTTTCCCCCACATAAGAAACTGTTAAAAAAAAAAAAAAAGTAACACTTCTATAAAAGCTCTACAGAAATAAGATTCTGAAATTTGACACCTAATTTCTTTTATTTCTGAATACCGTTAGACCAACTGGTTTTACTTCCTTCCCACCACACACACAAAACCCCATGGGAGCCTCCGCGGAGAGGCTGAGCTCCCCAAAGTCTGGTTGGTGCACCAGCGTGCAAAACGCCTGTTTTATTGGCCTCGCTTGGTAAGTCGCAAATCCTCCCTCTGTTCCACCAAAGTTAACAGATGGCTGGTCCCTTTTGGTACAGAGGCATAAGCATCTTCAAAATAACCTCTTCCTTTCAAATGTGCCAATTAATTAAATGTCACGGTAAAATGTCGCAGCCAAGGAGGGAAGGGACAGCCCAGAAGACTAAGGGTCAACGGAAGAGAACAAGGCTGAGGTCACTCTCTCCTACCTTCACCTGACGACCCCGAGAGATCGATGATCACATACACTCGGCCTTCCGGCTCCAGGTCAATCTGCAATTAAGAAAATGACAGTGTCTCTGTTAGTACATTGTGGGGACAACCCACGAGTTCATGACGTTTCCACCCCAAGTTGCTAAAACCTAGAGTCACAGTACCATTCAATTCACCAACCTGCGAAGTGTCAAGTGCCAGGTGAACTAGGAACCAGGGAGAATCCCCATTTACAGACTACCCATGATGCTCCGGGTGCCGTTCCAGGAGGTCTGACGCATACCCAATAGGTAGGTCATCCCAGTGGTTCTCCCCCGGAAGCGATTTTGCTGCACAATGGAAACCTGGCCCAGGGGACAGGTGACACAGGAACATTTGGGGGATATAAAAAACCAGGAGACATTTCTGACTGTGCTGCTACCTGCATCTCCAAGGTGGAAGCCAGGGATGCTACCAAACATCCTAGCACACAGGCCAATCCCCACAGCAAAGAACGATCTAGCTCAAAATGCCAAGTGTCAGGGTTGAGACACTCCATGTTACCCCATTTTACAGGTTAAGAACACTGGGCTCAAAGTTCCAAAGTAAGTGACAATGCTGTGATTCTGCCAAAACCATGTTACTTAGACCACACAAACTGCCCACAGGGGAACTAAGAGAAGCACAAGACACAACTCCTGCTCTCAAAGTGTTCACCATCTCACTGGGGAGTCCAAAACCAGAGAACAATGCTGAACCCGGCTTAAGGATGAGGGACAGAGAAGGTCTGAGTGTCTGTGAGCCTGAAATCCATGGAGAAGAGCAGTCTGGGAAGACTCTATGAAGGCAAGAAAGGGAAGGCATTCAAGGCGGAAGTAACAGCATAAGCAAAGGCCGGGAACGCACACGGTGTCTGTGCCAGACTGAAGGACCCCCATGCTCAGGCTGTGTGTTGGCACATGTGTTTTTGCAAACTCCAGATTCTACCAGGGTGGTAAAGAGAGAGGCAAGAGTGCTAAAGTCTTACCATCGACCTTCTCCATGCACCCTCACTTCCTCCCCCTACCTCCAAATCCAGCTAACTGCTTCAATACAGACACAGGCTGATGACATCATACGATGGAAGAAAAGTCAGAGGCGCTGGGCCTCTTAGCAGTTGAGACACCTTTGCAAGGTCTGAAGTGTCCTTACAGAAACTGTGTCCTCTGTGAGAGAGAGGAGTAACTCTGGAAACCCGGGGTCACCAAGTGCCCCAGTTGCCTACCCCTGCCCCCACAATCCCATATGTCTATGCAGGTCTCTAATTGGCTCATATGTGCCAGGCTTGTCTCCCCAACAAGCTGTGAGTATCTGGAGAGCTACAACCACCACCCCTCCTTTTCTTTTTCACTGTCTCTGGCAAAGAGCCGGCAAACACCTAGCAAGTGTGACTTAGGAAGGGTTATTCTGGCAGCCCTTCAAGGTCAAGGTCGAGTATCCGCTCCTCTCTGAAGTCTTTCCAGATATTCCCAGTGAGACTTGATCATCCCACATGTGTATTCCCACAGTACACACACACATCTTAGCCATGGCTCCTATTCAACGGCACTCCATGGTCCGTATGTCTATCTCCTCTGCTGGACCGAGCATGAGAATCATATTTGCATCCCTAGTGCTTAGCTCGCTGTCTGTGTGTCAGGAGACACCCAATAAACATCTGAGGAAGTGGGAAAAGGCTTGAGGCTCAGGACTGTCAGGGCCTATTCTGGGGTCATCTGCCCTTCCAAGGCTCCATCCCCTGTAGGAAGGAAGGCAGGTGGTCTGTACCAAAGTGACATTCAAACGAGGTGAGAGGGGAAAAGAGGCAGCTAGCTGTACCATGAGCACTGCATATTCCCTGTGAGGTGAAAATCTCAGCTGGAACTGACACCCCTGTTCCCACCCCATTCCCACCCCCCCACACACACACCCCCGTCTCACTCCACTCATAATCCAGGCTCCCAGCCATCCATGCTCCCCACTTTTTTTCCAGGCTCAGCCTTTTGTGGTTGAGAGTACTCAAGGTTTCTCCCCAAATTCACTCTCATCAACAGGGGTCTTCAGTGCCTCCTAGGTGAGGCCCTTGGTGACATTCAAGGTGCTCTGTCAGGGCAGGGCATGGGTGGGGGTGCTGGGGGCTCTCAGGTTGCGCCCCCCCACCCCCCGGAGCCATTTGCCTGGGATCTCGAGATGAATATCTAGATGGCAACCAGACAACAAACTAGGGATGCCATGAGATGACTCTCCCCAGCCCTTCTACCCTAAGAGTCTGTGGTTTTAGATTTCTGAGTAAAGAACATGCTCTCCAGCACCCACACTGCATCCCCACCCTCCCAGGCCCAACCCCTACCACAAACACATCCCAGCCCCTGCACTGAATTACAAACAGGAAAACCAACAGCAGTTGGCTCAGCTGATCAGAGCCAAACCAGACTCCCATCCCTGCCACATTTCAGGGGCCTCCTTGTCCAAAAGCATGGAATTTAAATAATGTATGCCTTTCGGAGATTAGATCATCCCTATTAAACCCCGCCGGCAACATGAAATGCTTTCTCATATCCTCTAAGTCAGAGATTTCCCACGACCGTGGACTCCACTGGCGAAGGACAATGCTATCTGTGAAAAGCAGGGAGGAGACAGCAGAGGAATGAGATGGGCTGCGAGGCCAAGCCGAAGGCAGGCAGCGTGCCTATCTTTGCAAAAGGGGAGTGAGAACTTGTGGCAGGGGGACAGGTCATTGACGATAAGATGTATTAGGATATTAACATTCAAGATAGCAATCAGAAACCATTTTAGCACCCACTGCTGCTTCAGTGCCAATGAACTGCATTTCCAAACAGAGAAATAGAAATTAAGCTATTAAACATGCCAAGAGCAACAGAGAGCTTTGCAGCCTGGGCAGATGGCCGCAAGGCGCTGGCCAAGCCCCAGCTAGCTGAGTGGAGAGGCTCTGAGAACCCATCTAGGGTGGTGCAACTTCAGCGTGGGTGACTGCAGGGGTTATCAGGTACAAAAGGTGGTGGAAGGATGGTGCAACTTCATGGCCAAATTACTTTAATCACAGATTCTGCTCACAATTAGGAGGCCCAGATAATGAAGCAACCAAGGTGCCCAACCCTGAGCTGCCCCTGCAGCTGTTAGTGGGCATTAGCACCAGGCAGCTGGCACTACATAAAAGCAGGCCTCCTCCCTCCTCCCTACCCATCCCAGGGTTAGTAATAAGCGCCTTCTTCTGCCCTCCAGGTCCCTCCCAATTGTCCCTGATGCAACCCTATTTATCAAATCTCCTTGAACCTCATACCTTGACTTGATGAGTCTTCCCAGCTACTATCTCTGTTCCTTTGACTTTGATTCTTTTTCAGGCTCCAGTGCCCTTGGCTATCTCTCCAGCTGAGGCCAGAAGTAGGGCAGCAGGACAGTGGGGCCAGACCAGGGCTGGATCCCAGCTAAGCCACCTACCAGCTCAGGCAATTATTTACTCTCCCTGAGCCTCAGCCTCAATCTCTTCTCCTGTGACACGGGTTGTTCTGAAATCTCTATGAGTCAATCTCCTGGCTTTGTGGCCTGAAGCAAGCAACTACCTTCTCTATGCCTCAGAATGCTCCTCCATGAAGTGCAGTTGATACTAGGTCTTATGTCATTTGGGCGGTCATGATGTTAAGTGCAATAACCTAGGTAAAGTGCCTAGCGTGAGGCCTGGCATGAAATGCTCAGTAATTGTTGGTGCTGTGGTTATAAAAAATCCAGTCTTCAAATCACCTCTTGGGCCAATGTTCTTTTCACTATATCAGATGGTCCCCCAACAACAATGACAACAGCAAAAAGGCATTTTCTTGCCCAAAGTTAATATCATTACACTAGAGGCCCAGTGCATGAAATTCGTGCACGAGTAGGGTCCCTAACAGCTGCCGAATGCCAGCCGGGGCCTTCCTTCGTTCCACGCCGCCCCATGGTGGTCAGCGCACATCACAGCAAGTGATCAAACACCAGATCAGTCGAACTCCCGAGGGGACACTTTGCATATTAACCTTTTATATATATAGATGTTATTCTAGGACATCTAATAACTTTACAGTATTGTTGTGAATATCCAATAAAGAATAAGGTGAAAGTTTTGTGTCCAGTCCAGGGAAAGCCCAGGGCAGGAAAGGCTATAACCCTGGTCATCAGAGGGCCAGGTGCTGCTCATGGGAAAAGGAGAAGGGGAGGGTGACATGTATAGACTGAGCACCTACTCTTCCTCAGACTGTGTTCAGTGCTTTACCAGCATCAGTTCATTTAATCTCCTGTAAGGTTGGCAATATACCCTGCTTCCCATATGGAAAAACGGGCTCAGAGAGCTTTTTCTGGATTCACACCCAGGGCTGCCTGGAGCACACAGGAGGGATGACTTTGATAGAGCTCCTGACTCAAGCCCTCTGACAACCCAGACCCAGGGTTCTCCTTCTTCTAAGCCTCTGTGGGTTCATTCTCCCTTTCAGGTGCAAGTGACTGGCTTCCCAGCAAGGTAGGTTTAAGGCAGAGCAATGCTTCCCACACCCTGCCCTCCAGCCCTTGGGTGAGGTCTGGGCATAAACACAGCTCCATTCATCTGAGTTAAGAATAAGGCAGTGGGAAAGAGCCCAAACCATCCCTCAATCCATGAAAAAGACATCTCTGAAAAGCAAAAGACTCACAGGCACTTTTTAGGGGGTGGTGTCTGACCATTCACAGTCCTGTGCACATTATTTTATGCATTCCTCCCAATTAACCTGTAAGGTCACAGGTATTATTAGCACCACTGTATGTATGAGAACACGGAAGATAACGAGCCAATACAACATGACTCGTCATGCACACCACTGCCCAGCTCCAGGGGCACCATTCACCTCAATGAGTCCCCTGGAGCTGGGCAGCCTAGAGGTGAGTGGCACCCTCAACTCCTGACTCTCAGTCCAGTGTTCCTGCCACCACACCACACCTGCCCAGAGGGAACCCTGACCAGTGGGCCAGCACCCCACCAATGGTGCAGCACTGCACAGCCAGCTTAAGTGTTACTGCTGCATGTCACTGTGACCCACAGG